TTTTAAAGTTAACTTGTCTTGCTTTTTGTCAGCATACGCTCTTCGTTTACTATACTGCTGAATAGTCTTGATTCATTGCAGTCGACTGATATGCATAAAATGTAGAGGGAATGAATGAAAAGACGGAAGTTAACAAAATGACTGGAGAGTGATGCTCCATAAATGACTGTGCAGCCACTACAAGAGTCAAAAAGTTTACGATGGACGTCTTGAGAAATGCCTATAAAGTTTGTTGAAAAGGAAGTTATAAAAATGAAGGGTTGAGAGTAATAACTAAGGACATAAAAAGTCAACTTGAAACAAATTTTTTGGGATGTTAAAAGCAGTAAAGAAGCTCGAGAAATTTGTTGCTTGACTTACAGTGATCGGTCGAAAGGTTTATGTAGGTCGACGCTTTCACCTGAAATAGGGTGACGTTAAAGGTACAGTAAAAAGAAGAGAGTATAACAAAAACCAGCTTGTTCGCTTGGCCAGGTCGAATTTGATAGCATAAGATTTAAAGAAGCAGGTACAGTTAAATTTGATTAACACGACATCTCTTTGAAAAGAATTTCTGGGACTCAGCTATAATGAACGTTGTTTGCTCTTTGTTATATCTGTTTTGCGGAGCAAAGAATTTTGCCATTTTTGAGGAAGCAAATAGAAAAAAGCGACTCGATAAAATTATTGTCGGTTTTGTTATTCATTTCCTCCCGAAGGGCAAAATTTGTTCATCATGATTTGATACAGATTTTAACTTTCAAGAAATTAGACATTATTAAAAGTCAGCGATTATTTCTATTTTATAAAAAGTTCTTAGTATTGCTGGTAATTTTCTGTCTTACTTCGTTTTATCATGTTGACTTGTCTTCCTCTTTGCTTCCTCCAGTAACTATTGAAGTTTGTAATCCTTTTACATGAGTGCTAAATCTTAAGTAAAATAAACTGTCTGTAATTACTGGCAAATAAATTTGTTGCATATTCACTTAATCTGACTGACTGTTTCTCTCTCTTTCCTTTAATAAAATTAATTTATACTTCTCTATCTGTCTGTCAATTTAGCATCTAATTAAGAGAACCGAGGAAAGTGTATAGACTTTGAAAGCCCGATAATACTGAGTTTGATATAAGAGAATTCTATCAGTTAACTAAAGTGATTTATGGTAGTTCGATGTAAGCGAAACTAACCATAATGTTATGGGTTTAGTTGAGACCGAATTCAACTCATATTAAGTTGCTGTACGAGTAGAGGGGTTCCGCTACAGTCTGGGGGTAGGGAAAGGCTGCTGTTATCTCCCTGCGTGATCTACAAGAAGTTGGCTAATGAAGCTGTGAGATGGTTGGAAACTTTCCGAAGCGAAACGTTGAAGTGAAAGATATTTTGTCCCTGGCGAAATGAACGGTGCCATGACGGCGGTAAAGGTCTCAAATTTTGGTTAAACTGTCTTAGACTTAGGATTGGTTCTTAGAATTTCAGTGGGTTGTGGGAGCACTTGTACAAAAGCAGCTAACGTAATTTCTAAAACTGCCCTTTTTTCCTTTTTTCTTCAGTAGAAATTTTAGCAATAATTGACTGTTACTTGAAGTTTGTCTACTCCTAGTTTACTATAGTTGGATGCTAATGTAGAAGTAGGCATCAATGGGTGTTAAAAGGAAGCGTCAAAAGACTGGTGTTAAAATTTTTTCCCGAAGCGGTACAACGTGCTGAAAAAATTTTTGTTAGAAACTTTTGAGACTGACTTGTCACCGTACCTAGTAGAAGTTATATGATAAATGAATGTAAAAAGCCTAGAAAAAAAGTATTAGGTGAAAAAGCATAAAACTCAACAAACAAAACTTGAGTTTTAGAATGTCAAATTTTTCTATGCTGCCAAAGATAAATTACTTTCCTATCATTTTTGACTGCAAAAATTTTGGTTCAGGAGCATCAGTATTGAAAATTTAGGCTTCTTGAAGAGAGCATAAATAAGTTTCTGAGAGTCTTCTGAAAAGCAAATATTATTTTCTCAGATTGACACGGACTGAGCGAGAGAATAGGGATTAGATCACCACAGCAGCAGGTTGTGAAGCTGCAAGCTCATATTTTTCAAGTCCTGGAATTCTTAAAGCGACTTAATATCAGACTTAACATCAAAACTAAGAAGTTAAATTTGTTATGCTTTCAGCTGCAACATATAAGATGAAGTTACATCGAATATTATCATGGCAAAGTGTCGTAGAAACTGCTTCAGTCATGGACTAACAAAAGAAAGCGAAGAAAAAGCTAAGTTATGTAACAAAATTACGCGTGTGTTTGTAGGGGAAAGACCACTCGAAAATAAATGGAAAAATAACAAGAAGTTTGTTTAACGGATTGTTCATGCTGCTTTTATATCATTCCATTTATCACAAATTCCTTGTGACGTATGAAACACCTAACGCGTCCGCCTCAGTGCTGTTTCTCTCCGGAAATTACTCAACACTATTCTGTAAAGAAAATTCAACTAGAAAATTTAGTTCCTCGAAATAATAGCTCGAAATATACAGTCCCTGAACCTCACTTATGGTTAACACTTGTCCTTAGTATATCAACATCAGTTCTGAAACACATGAAGCACATCGTATTTCACATAAAAAGATATATCTGCCAGTGTTACGAACAAATAAAATTCATTTCTGTAGCTCTCTAAGGGATTCTTTAATTTACCAGCAGAAACAGCCCCACAGAATGGTTCTCTCATTTCTGCAAATTGAAATCAAATACCGAAATTTAATAAGAATCTAAAGAAATGATTGTGCAATTAAATGAAGGATAAGTATTAATTTTAACTTGGATCTATTTGGCGCACTGATGATACCTCCTAATAGGCCACAGGTTTGAGTTCAGTTTTCTTCTGGTTTGCTAAACTCCTCTTTTCTCTGTTTTAATTACCTCTGTTTGGAACCATATCTGTCACTGGCAAATAAGCTGTGATTTGTATCTGTTGAGTAGTCATTTGGAACAGCCATAACCAGAAATACTATGGTATTCTCACATGGAATTTATAAACTGTCTAAAAAGATAACTTTGAAGGAGGCCTAAAATTAGAGAAAAAAAACAAACTTTTAAAAGAGAAAATGTGATTTCAGAAGAATACAAATGGAATAATTTGAGGTTAAAAAGTTAAGTTGAAGAGAAAAAGCCGAAGCTTTTGAGTGGTGCAAGATTTCTGAAAAGTTTTTCAAAAAAAGTCTGTTTTGTAAAATTATTTAATACAATAGATGGGCTGGCCATTTTTGAAGTTCACTGCGGAAGAGTTACGTTTCGGGGAAAACGCAAATGGTATACTGTTATTGGCATAAGACTGAATGCGATACAGCAAAAATGCTTGCAATTATTTTTTCACCAGCAATTTTTGTTATTATTCTTGTCGTTTTATATGCAGAAATTTTTAACCACCATCGTATATTTCCACAAACTATTTTTCTGCTGGCTTAGAGAAGCTGAACTCCGCTTCAACTCAGGGTCAAAAAGCTTCAAAACCACAATACACAAATTGAATTTTTTCGAAAAATTTAAATTTTTAAAAATTGCAACGTCATCGACAGCAAAACGAATTTTTTCCTCTTTCTTCCTCTGTTGCAAATGTTCAGAAAGCTTAAATTGTCTTTTGCAGCAAGGTGCCTTATAGATAATCCGACTTCACGAATAATGAATCTCTGACTGTCCAAGTAAAAGAAGTACTAAAATGTAGGCAAATAAACATTTTTCAACTTAAATACGGTAAAGGAGATATCTGGGCGAGTAAGTTCCCAAGAAGTTCAAGATTTAATGATTAAAATGCACAAATTGATAATTATCGCGCTGAATTCTGTGTAGATAGAGTGTAATTTGTTTCCATCTGAAGATTCTAAGGAGTTTATAATAAAACGGCCAGCATAGGCAGAGAGTGTGAATAAACCGATAAAGAAATGAAAAACTAATAATCTCAAGTTTCTAAGCTAATTTCTAAGAAAATAAGTAAAATTTATCTCTGGAACATAAATCTCGATAATAGAAGGTGAATACAGAATTGAAAGTCTGTCAAACTCCGTTTTTACTTATAATATGCGTAATTAAAACATTTTGATTGGAAAATACAGATTGCTTAAAAGCTGTAACGTTATCAAACTATTAAGAGCTAAAAACTATATTTAGTACTGCGAAAAATTTCCCAACTAATTTCGAAGCGCATAAATTTATGTTGGCAACTGCTTCTAAACACCACTTACATTTTAGTGTTTGTGCCTATTTGATAAGAGACGGATAGGGTAGTATTGAAGGTACTGCTCTTCAGAGCTATCTGCAGAACAAGACCCAAAACCGGTGCTCGAGAACAACGACTTAAAGTGTTCAAGTCAGTTTTCGGAAGCTAAGACGAAACAGGAAATTTAAAAGATGAATTCTGTTTAGTTTTTCCTAGAAGTCTTATTTACGTTGCACTCTCTGGTAATGAGTATTAAAAATAGAGATTTTCCCAACTTCTCGCCAACTAAAAGAGGTTGTGAATGCAAAGCACTTTGACTACACAGTTAGCCTCTTCAAGTAAATAAAAAGCAGCCTTCGAGCATTCAGAAAGCACTGAAAGGCAGACCATTTGATATTAATCACTGATATTGCAAACTGAACGATGATTCCTTCCAAAAATTAAATGATAAAGGTGAAAAAAATGGTTCTTTTATTTGCCTGTTCCGTTCAACCTTTCATGCAACTTTTCGCGTACGGCTTTTTTATATGAGAAGAATGTGTACTACTGCATCACAGTTTTTTCCTTTTTCAAACAAGTCTGAGGAATTTAATGGTACTATGACGGTTTTAAGATCGTCATCTAACGCACAGTCATCGACCGCTGTAACTCTCTGCACGTCATCCCTATCTTGCACTTAATTTTTTAGAAGTTATCATTTCCAAAAATTACGTCCAAATAAATTTTCGATGACGTCCAATTTCCTGTCATATTATTTCGACAGAGATGGCAGTGAATTTAACGTCAGAAAAATTTTTTCTAAGTACATATTTTTGCACAGTTATAGCTTTTGTTCATAATGGATTATTTATGCACAAAAATCATTTTAAAACTGCCCACGTAGATATTCTCAATACATTTTTTAAGAGCGTTTTCCCATAAAAAGCATAAGTTTTTGGAGATCAAAGGAATCATCCCTTCAGTATTTCAAATTCAGTACTCAACCAAGGCGGCAAACTTTGGAAGCACGACATTTCCTTCGACGTCTGAAATCAATATCACAAAGATATGAGAATCTTTAGCCTCTAATTTTAGGTAGAAAACCAAATTAAAATAAACGAAAAAATTCCTCAGTTTCCAGATATTTGCGACAACTTTCATTCTTTCAGTTCTTGTTTCCATCGAAATTTAGACAGAATCTAGCAAACAGCGACCCTTCACTTCATTAAGATTATTATGCCAGCATAAAAAGCGAACGCAACTTCTCCTTTGTTTTCGAGGATTATCGTCGTTTTTAATAAACTACGGTTTCGATAATCACGATACTATTTTGTCCAACATCTTAATTTTGAAAACTGAATTTGTTAGCAAATCGGCTCTGCAGATGGCTACAGCACCCTTATCCACAGCCACTTGTTGAATTACTGAACTGAATCCCTAAACCTGGGTACCACTGTTTCTTAACTCGTTGAATTTTCAAATGACGCAACAAGATCCCCATTGTTCTCAAAATCTGGTTCTGAAATTTTCCTGTACCGTCCCATTGGAGTGGATAACATATGAGCCACCTGTTTTGCCCATTAACTGGCGTGAAACTAGAGTTGGAATGGTTTCGCAAAAACCAAAACATCATCGACGCTCGTAAATTCATTCCAGCGTATCGAAAATCTAATACACCGCTAGACTACTGCATAAGAGAAAAGCCCTTCAAGTTCTGATCAAATGCCTTAAAAGCATTGTTGCGTTTGGTTGCTACTGGTGGGATAACGTAGTGATAAAAGATCGTCGCGTTGCGCCAAATCCTAGTGCACTATCTATTCGCGCAATGCATTTTACTTCTTCTGTTTGCGGTAGAGTCTTCATCAAAAATTACATTGAGCTTTTGACAGCTACGGTTTTGAAGTTCACTGAAGGTACTTGTTTCTTTCATGAATCTGATTGACAGTTTGGGGCTCCACGAATGTTTGTGGCTGTTGCGCAGTAGTTAAAAAGAACTTGGTTCTTTTAAAAAACTGTCAGGATTAAGTTTGATTTTCGTCAGTGCTGGTTTTCGTTCCGTGGATGCACATCCTGTTTTTCTGTTTTTTTTAGTGCCGCAAAGACGTTGAAAGACAGTAGCGATTACAAAACTTCAGTGATTACATGAGGCCATTATGAGCGGGTGTCAGAAGTCACCAGAACAGACGTTAAATCTCAGAGTCGACTCACGACCAACTTGTGTTACATTGACGAAGTCAAGCGATGGTGTATGCTATCTTGTAACGGGTGACACAAATGGTAACGTAAGTTAGCTTGAAATGATCTCTGTGGAATCGCATGATACAAGGCGGAGATGGTCTGATTATATAGAGACTTTTAAGGTTTGCTTTTATTTGAACGGAACTCGTGTTATGAGATATGCTTGTCCCATTATATGTTATGACAAAGCGGTAACTGCACTTGCTCATGGCAACTTGCTGAACAAGAGCGAGTAAGTTCTAGCTGACTTCATTGTTGGAATATTTTCTCCCTTTTACTTTTGCAACCGTCATAATGGAAAAATATATATCAGTGATAAAAAACGAATTAGTTATTGTGAACAACCTGCTAAAATAGTATGTTTTTTGGGGTTTTAAGTAATCATTATCACAGCATCCTTGACAAGTTAATTGGATTTATCCTATTTTTAATAAACGCTTGGGGAAATTGCGTGTTAACGAGTAGAACTTGTTTTGCTAAAGTATTGTTAATAGCGAGTCAAGACTACTGTTAAATTTGTGAACGAGTTTGTTCTTTTTGGAAAGATTTCTTTAAGCGATCATATGTGATCGTTCAAATTAAACCGGATTCATTGTTGAAGTGAAGAGGAGAATTTGGTTATTATTCATGCTGACGGCTGTTTGCAAACAATAACTTTCCCGAAGTTGGACTGCCAAGAAATCAGTATTTCAAGATCCCCTACTGAAACATTTTTTGATTTATTGGATGTAAATATTTGCAATGCAGTAGTGTGCGACATCGACAGCGACAGCAATAATGAATTGGTAGCGGTTTCTGTTAACGGCGTAGGTTCGTTCTAATTTTTTAAAACACTAAAGGACATATTTAAGTTGTAACATGGAAGAATTTTTTTCACTGTTTACTGTTAGACGGCGGTGAGGTGTTTTCTGCCTCTCAGAGAAGTAATATTAAGCGTTTTACATTTTAGTTCGTTCCTATCGTTTCGAAGTCGAGGGGGACGGAGGTCTTCAACAAATACAGTTATGGGACTTCCAACATAATATTATTTTCTTTTCTCTTGGGCTGTGTCAAAACAACTTCTTCACTGGCTTTGTTCTCTTGAACACTTGGGCAATTTACAAAATAGCTTTCTCTCCAGACGGTTCAGTAGTGCCACAAAGGAAGCCATCTAAAGGCGTCTGCTGCATTGTGCCCTCTAACTGTGTTTATTCAGCATTGTACAGTTCGGAGGTTTGGAAGATATTTGCGCAGTTCTCAGGTGATCTCTTCAATTATGAATGGAATTTTAGTTATTGGTTTGGATCTTATCAAATTGCTTAAAGAGCTGATCACTGTAGGATTGAAGCCCTGTGAGCTTGTCAACAGAGAACTAAAGAAAGTCGGGCAGGATCGAATAACCTGCATTGGAACGACTGTTTTTCGCAATGGGACACAGGTCGTCGTAACGACGGATTGTGTGGGAAACCTATGTATTTACAGATCGGTTAGTCGAAATCGTGTGCTCGCTCACGAATGACCTTTAAAACCCATTAACTTGAGAAGCGTTTTGTTTGCGAAAAATCATCCAGAGTTGCTAAAGAAACTGCAAGCAGTCCCCAATTTTCAGTCTTGTCTAAAAAATTTTTCGACAGAGAAGGCAGAATTTTGCTTTCAATGCTAGTTAGTAACTGTGCAATATCCTATCAAAGATAATATTTAATGGGAACTACCTGCTGCAGTAGATGAAGTGAAAATTTCAGATATAAAAAACTGAGGTGTTGAAGTACTAGTGTTTTCAGGAAATAGAAAAAAAAATGGTAGACGGTGAAGGCAACGAAATGCAGGCTGAAGGGGTTCTCCTTGCTGAGGTGTCAAAGATTGGCAATGAACAAAGTTCAGGCTCACTTCGGAAGCTGTCTTTGAATTCCCATTCTGAAAACTTGTCTTTCGAGTTTCGTAGTTGTGGTGCTACTGGTTCAATCAGTTCAGATAATAGTTATATATCAAGAGAAATAAGTCAGAAATTCGGCAGTGAACTAGCGCACGACACCCAAAAAAACTCTCTTAGTTTCAATAAATGCGATGGGAGACGTGCAGAGTGCAGTTTAGATTCAGTTGACGACGAACTCTGTGTGGCACCATCTTTATGCAAAAGACCAGAGAATTGCAATTCACCTTGCCTGATATGGATGCCAAGCATATGCAGCAGACTTAACATTATTCCTGTAGGTTTGTCAGTTCTTGAAGGTGTAGAAAGCGGTTGTCTATTAATTGGAGTTGTTTCTCTTTACAAACGAGTTCATCTTTACCGTTACAAATTTTAGTATGATATGATACACTTGTTATGTAAAAGTTAAAGCTATTTTTGTTTCCGAGTACGATATGAAAGGAAAAATCTTGGATAAAATTTTGTTCAATGATGTGGCGTGAAAGATGTGAGGTTAAAAAATGTAATAAACTGAAGTGATCGTAATTTTTGATGCCCCTTTGTCTCCTTCATTTTAGTCTACAACTACTGAAAAATTTCTCCCACCCAAAAGTAAGCGTAATTTCAAGAGAACCTTTCACCAGTGGTCGCTTCAAGACCAGTAAACCTTGAAAAAAAGAGCAAAGGAGTTCTAAATAAATCGAAGAATTGTTTCGGAGGCTGTTTTTCAAACTAAAAGGATAGGATAAAGTGATGAATAGCGTTTAAACTGCCCTTCAAAAGGGTGAGTGAAAACTCATGAGAATAGTAGATAAAGAATGGAATAAAGCTAGTGGGAAAACATCCACAGAGACAGAGAATTATCTAAGTCGGCAAAATTTCTAATCGTTTCGTAGTCGTCGTTTTCTTCTTCACTGCATAAGTCAGGCAGAGGAAAAACTCGTTGACCGCTACACGTCGCCACGAGAGGGACATTGGGATGAATGCTGAAGACAATGTCGTTTTAATGGCGTTAAGTCAACAGCCGCAATGTGCGATAAATTAAGAAAATTAGTTAGAGTAAAGCAGCAGTTACAGATAACTAACCTGACTCCGGAAAGTGAGCTTCGATGGACCGGAAGAACACAAACTGGTTCTGAAAGTTCGGGCCTAATTTCTGCCACATCAAAAATATAAAGATGTCCTGAAGAGCTACCACTGAACAGGTAGCGACCTGAACTGAAAAACTTCAGGTATTAAGGTGCCATTAGTATCAGTCCAAAATAAAAGAACAAATAATACCAATCCATCTCAAAATAAATCCTTTGGTTTGTAGTGCATGGACGTTCTAGGGAGCCAATCATATGACCTGGATATCGCAGGTCCCAGCATGTAATGCAATCATTCTTCAAGGAAACGGTTACAAGATTTTGACACTGTGAGTTTAAATTCACTCATCAAAAATTTTTTAAGTGCAGTGCGGAAAGACAGCGGAAAAGTGTTTGACGTGCTACTTATTACAATCAGTTTGTATCTCAAACCTTTCTGCTGGCAGCAAATAACACATTTCCGTCACTCGAATAACGAATATGCGTAACGGCATGTGAAGGTACTTCAAAAATACATTCTGCGCCTGACGACATGTCAGAATAAAGAGCTACTGAAATGAATGTAAACTAAAAAACTGTCATCAAATGTTCAAATGTTATTCTCTTAATAACCCACTTGATTGTCCATAGGATGCTGCTGCATAAACTCCCTGCATCAGCGGGTTCATCGTAATGCATGAAATAATAGACTTTTGACCGCCGTTCACTTTTGCTGAAAGTTGTGTAAAATAAATATACAAAAAGACGCTTCGCCTAGCGTCTGAAGCGTAATCCTGCAACCAAGCCAACTCACTTTAAAATAGATTAATTTGTTCGTCAACTGAAATAAAAAAGCCTTAGAAACTAAGGAAGAAAAACGTCAACAGAACTCCACGTTTTTATATCCTGTTGTTGGCGGCCGCCCCTATTAATGTCGAATTTCCTAATTGAACAATTGTATCCCGCATATAACTGCTGTCCATCGTGAGAGAAGCAAAGCGAGTAGGCGCTGTCTAGCTCATCCTAAAAAACCTGTCTTATCTGTTCAAGCAAAGAAAAGCACCTTAACAAATTAGAATGGAAGTTTCAGACACAAGACTGCGTAAAAACGCTACAAATATTAGTTTAACACTACTTTCGTGAACCAAAAAATTTATATCAAATTTTTCTGGTAACATACTTTTTCGTTTATTCCATTGAAAGAAACAGCTCTTTTTCCCTCTTGATTCCAACAGTGTATTGGCTGGTCTTTGCTGGAAGTTGCCAACCAACTCAGACTCGGATGCCAGCAGATATCGTAGATTAAAGTTGCCAGTGGAATTGACTGATGTAGTTTTACCTGTGGAATAAAGCCTGGCTACTTCAGGATCAAAAACGTAATAAGTCACTTAAATCAAGGAAAAGAATATTTCCAAATGTATACTTCCTATGAAGCTTATTATGGCAAACCTTAGAATAATCTTCTAACGTCTTGAAGAGCTGAACTTTTCGGTCCTGGCTGGAAGAAGCGAGGATTTCCCCGTCACTGCTCCACTTACAACATTTTATGTAATTGTTACAATAATTTTCTAAAGAGAAACCAAAGCCTCTCGCTTCTGTAACAAACGCTTCTTTTTCACGGAAAACTTCTTTCGGTTTTTCAAACTCAAAGAGTACACTGTGCCTTGCCTTCTTCCGCGGTAGAGCGTTTACTTCCTCAGCATCGTGCAACATCTACAATACTGGGATATATCGAGGACAAAAGAATTTTTAATAGTAAAGATGGTGGCCCAAGTTACAGAAAACATGATAAAACAGCCACACAAACAACTCATTCAAAAAAACGCCTTTCAAGACTCAAAAAATGTAGCAAAGGGGGACAACCAGGACGGAACTACAAATATTTCAGTCACAAAGTTCAGTATACATAAAAACTCACCAACGGTTTTAAAGGTTCTTCAGCCAACGACACTTTTGCATGCGCCTTCCCTTCTTCAGCCTGACGAAGCTGAAACGATTCCAAATTTACTTCTAATTAAGAGACAGTAACTCTCCATAACTTAGAGACACTAGCATACTGGTGGGATTCACCCAAAAAAACCCAGTAAACTTTTTCAGAACTTACTTGTGTCAGCAAAAATGCCATGCCCTTCATAGTCTTTTTAAAACCTTTGTTTTTACCGCTGTTCAGGCTGCGTCCCTCCAGGCAATCCGCTGCTTCTCCGCCTTGCCACTTAGTTTGCTCATTCCCAGTCTCAAAAGCAGCATCGGAAAGTTGCGCAACTTTCACTACCAATTCCTCAACAAGCTTCTCGACAACTGACATGGTTTCCAACTTTAAGCCATCTCCAACAAGAAACAGTAAGATTACCAACAAGATGAATAACTTTCTTCAAAACAAAAAAAGCCACTGAAAATTTTATATTTGAAAAAAAAGTAACGCATCCAGCCCCAGAAACATAACAGATCAAGTGAAGAACTAAACACAAAATCAATCTTTCTTTTATTTAATAAAAATGAACACCCATTTTTTGTAGTAATAAAAAAAATACATATTGAACTCCAGCGAATGCAAAAAAAGATCTAAAACCAAAAAAAGAAACGTGAATTATAAGTAAAACGTAAATAGTCCTATTAAAAAGCGAGAATATATCACAAGAACTGTGGGAAATCACTATTAGATAGACAACCTTTGAAAAGCCGCAATATAAAAGAAGTTTGTGTTTAGATGAAAATAAACTAACGGTTTTAGCAAATTCTCTAGTTTTCAATAAGATTACAAAACGTAAGCCAAAGTTCAGAGATTGATATAATTCATTCAGAGATTGATATAATCCATTTGATTTACACCGAACTTTTCTCGGAAACAAATATTTAATGTCCTACATCACGACAACTTTTGAATAATTTTCCGTGACCCGGTATTATCCAGTCGGCAACAGCTAAAATGGAACTTCGACTGCTCTTTTGAAGATCAGGGTACCTGCTGTTAACCAACCAAGAATCATCCCTTTCATCTTCAAAAATGTCTCCTGAAAAAGCAACTGAAGTACAGCACTTAACCAAAAACAATTTAAAACCTCTCGAGTGCATACTAGCCTGCAACTACCACAGTACCAATAGATGTCTCTCTGACAATCACGCTCAGGTCGTGATCCGTGTGACCAGGAGTTCTAATGATCTCTACTCCAGGGGCCAAAACAGTAGAACCCTAGAACATTCAAAATTAAAAAATTAAGGCTTTATAGCTCAAAATGCCACCGACCATTACACTCCCAGAGCTAAAGCCACAAATCGAAGTATTCTTCCAAGTTAGTTGAGACTAAAGAATCGGTTACCCCTAAATAAAAAGCGCACTGAAATCCTTAACCCGGGTAAGTCGCCAAATTTTTTAAAATTTCTTAATGTTCCAACACCCCGCAAAACCTTATTAGGAAATTTTAAAGTTACCCTCCAAAATCAATCCCAGGAAATTACGTTGGTTCAATAATGTACTATATGTCTTCAAGGTTTAAATATACAGTATGCTGATTGTTTCGTTACTTACTACGTTGCATCTCTTCATGACACTCAATTTCGTATAACCTATTTCTTCAGTAGTCTTAATCTTTTTGAAAATCCCATCTGACGAATACTGCTTTTTTGAACCTTTAAAACCGTTCCAGTGACATCTTTTAGAGTCCTTCACTAGTTCACCAGTAAAAGATCAAGAAAGTACGTTTTCGAATACTCCTTTCACTTCTGAAGAAGTTGCCCTACTATTAATGATGCTTTTTGACCTCACTGTTGTTTGCCGAAACTGAAACAATCGTACCTGTAACGTTGAGTAACAACAAAAATTTTCCGCACAGTCTTGATCCATAAAGAAACGAGCCGACTCGAATAAAGAAAGGCAACCACAGTGGTCGCTATGACCGTGGGTAATAACAACGTCCGTTATGTCAGAACAAGAAACTCCTTCATCGTTTAAACCTGGAGGTTCACAAGAAACTTTAAAAAAAGAAAGCTGCTTGATGAAAATACATAGGTGCAGAAGCAGTCTAGAAATCCTAACAGTTAACACTATATACTTAAAACTCTTCTGTTAGGACCACTGGAAACATTGAATGAGTCTCAATAAAACTATAGCTGGATCTGCTCAGTGCTTCATTTTCATAAATTTGTGTGATGTTCAACGTATAGCACCTGCAATGATCTTCGATCCGTGCCATGGACTTCCACAATCAACCAGAATTTTCCTTCCAGAACTGGAAGAAACAAAAGTCACGGATCCACAAGCTGTATAGCCTTTTTCCTCATCTTTATTTGAAAATCCGACCACAATCTGTTTCACTTCATTTCTAATTACCATGTTTCAGAGTCTAAAATGGGGCTCGTAGTGAATTGAAAGCACCAAATGCACACAATAACGGAACTCAGACGCGATAGAGGATACGGCGAAAGATCCGTTGCACAATTTTTAGAATTGATTAGCTTCAGTTTCTGGCAGCTGGAGAAACTAAAATTCTGACCGTGTAAGTCCCCCTGGAGCCAAAACTTAACTTGTTTTTCCGCTGTAACCTGTTACCCTAGAAACTTAGAAGAGATACTTCAGCTTCGGGGTACTAAAAAACTATGTGTAAACGGGACTTCAAAATAATCCTAGCCATTTTTTCAAAGGATTGAAGTGTGCAAACAATTAGGAAACTCCGTATTGTTTCTCGGACGCATGTGCAATTCAGAAAGTCACCAAATTAACTCTATCATCCACCATTCTAATACTGGTGCACTACACATGTGGAGAAATCTTATTAGGGCAGCTACTTGTTTTATGACAAATACTGTCTAAAGGCCACAATCTCAAACTACAGAGAACTCTGCACAAACTCAGTGATTGAGATAGCAACCCTGTAAACGCTTTGAAGCATCCGCCAAACAAAGTGAAAGTGCGACCTCATAAAGGAATTGATTTGAATCCCCTCATAAAACCAACTCCCACAAAATCGAGTTTTTTTTCGTGTTTTGCGAGCACTTTACAAAGCGTAAAGCCGGAAACTCAACAAAGGAACAAAACAAAGATGTAGAAAAAATGTAGAGAACACAATGGGCAATTGTTGCAGGCACAAAATATTAACTAATAAAACTGATTCGTAACAAAACGTCGCATATATTGCAGCTAGTGACATTCTACTCAGAGGTGCAACGATGAAGATCGTGACAGTGTCGAACCAGTTAGCACGCACTACAGAAAACAAGTGCAAGTGTGCCTCTTCACACCGTGGAAAACCTCCTCGTCCGCTGAAGCGTCAACCCAGTTACTTCAAACTGTCTTCCCTTCGCTGTACCAGCTATTTTCCTGACTCAGCAGAACGATTACTGCAACTTACTACAGCCGCATAATTTTACCTGCAAAAAAGTACATCGCAACTGTGCTAGATACCAGACTTCATATCCTATTACGACGTCACGGCTCAGCACCTTAACTGCATCCTTGTTCCACGGCATAGTTCAACCAGTTTCGGGAGGAGAGACCTACGTGATGTTATTGCAAACCGTCGAAATGAACACCCTCGTCGACTGAATTCTAAGCGGTTTGGTCAGAAAACAAGAATATTTGAAAATTATTTGGGAATAAATTACAGTTTGTACAATACCAAGCCCTGAATCAGGAAAAGTAAATTACCTAAACCCAAGCATCGAAACAACCAAATGTGATACAAAAGTGGACGGACTGTTCCGAAAATACTGTCCAGGTTCTACAATATAAAGATTTCACAAGTCTGCACTGATTTATATGCTTCAAAAAACCAGCTTACTCAGCAGTCATCTCTGATGCTGCTGCTAAAAACTTTTAAATCTACAGCGCAGCTAGATTACAGCATACCGATTATAAGTTACTCCGATTCTAGTTCCGCCAAAGCAAAGCAACGGTATGACAGCATAATGACAAAACAGAAAAGAAAGTTTTGCTTTTTAGTAATAACTTTACAATGCAGATACTTACACACCTCGAGAATCCTAAAGAAACCCACTGAGCATACCTAACAAGAAATACCAACATCACGTCCTTTCCGGTAAAACAGACCGACGTTCCCAAGTACGAGATGAATATGGCAATTCAAAGAACTTAATAGAAAACATTTGTTTTCCCCCATACAAATACTATCCATCTTCCAAAATAAGATCCTTCTATGCTTAAAATTAAACTAATTCCCTAAGAATAAGACAAGCAAAAGAAGTGAATGTACCATAAATTATAAATAACAATATGTAAATCTATTACAAAATGACAGATAGCGCTTCATCGAATTCGATATCACAACGTTGTTGAAGGAGGGCAAGTACCTTATCACGGCTTAACATAGACGCGCTGTAATTTGAAAGAATAGAGGGAGCCATTTCTTCAGGTGACTGTCTGAGTTCGCTGCGCAGTAAACTCACATCACCCACAGGAAGCGAAAGTAGCGAAAGAAGAGTGATGACTTCTTGAAACAACTGTAATAAATTGCGACAATTAAGTCTAAAGCTATAAAAAGTGCAAATAAGGAAGTTGCGCTTGAATATACAGGAGCAGAAGTAAAAACCAAAAAAAAAAAAGACGATAAGTACTTACTGGTTCATCTAAAGTTTCGTATCTTGCAGGGACTGACTCAGCAAATATTGAATTTAAAACAGGTAGAAGGTAACTTTTAACATCAAACAGCATTTGTGATGCTCCACTACTGCTGAAAAACCCTGACAGAAGTACTTTTCTTTCGACAAACTCCAGGCTCAACAAATGTTAAGAGTAATGTATGGCCTAAACAGGCGCCTTAAATTAGACAAATTAAGCCGACTGAGTTATGCAAAGCTGGTTTTTGACAACGTACTTGAAAGATGTCCCGTTTATCACGTCAACAAGAACTTCTGCAACCTTAACACTCAACATCTGAAATACTTTTTTTGCTGAATCAGGAGAAACTGAGGATCCAACGCGACCAAACAAGCGTCTCACTTCCAACAAGAATGGACAAAATGAGGAGGTCAAATCGGTGGGCTTCTTTGCTTCAAATGCGAACCTTAAATTGCCATTAAACAGTAAAACTACTTTAGTTTGAAAATAACTAAAACACTTCAATATTACTGATGTCGGAAAGAACAACAGGAAGCCCTAAGACAAAGACTCTAATTAAAGAATGTAATAACCAACTAACCACTTTACATTTCTGTATTTATTCAGCTGAAGCTTTATATACTGAGCAAATTCATCACACATATAAGAAACTCGCTGGTGCCAGACGTGTTTGTATAAATCTGCAATTTCGGTAAATATACCCCGCACACGAGAGCCAGCGTTTTGCATTTGTACACGGAGAAAAACGTCTGCATCTGCCCACTCCTCCATCACGCAACTTACGTACCTAAATACCATCCTGGGAAATTAAAAGCATGCTAGACATCTTTTATGACAGATTTACTTAAATCATTGAAACAACTTAAAGTTCCCGACAAGACAGATAATAGCTTTACCCAAATCAGACGATTTGGGACCTTTACATGTCTGCAAATAAAGTTTGACACCCTACATTTTGAAAGGAAAAAGTAGATTTAGCACATAAAAAAATAACTTTCTTGCTTTAGAAAGCAGTCCTCATAATAAGTGAGAGAGCTTCTAATCTTATTTCGCGGCAGTGGATATGAAAGCTGGTTCTTCAATATGCCACCAAAACGACTACACACAACTAGCTTTCAAGCAGAGTCCAGCGTTAGATTCAAGCCAACAATTCAGAAATCGTTGAAATGCAAAACAATGTTGCTGCTCGGTCGGGATAACCGTTTTCTTCAAAACCCTAGCGCCCAATCAAAAAACTATGCACTGCAAGTAACGTCCCGTTACTCTCAATTACTTTTTCCAACAAAGTTGAGAAACGCAATGTTGTCAGCTACACACTACACCCGATCTCCCACAAAAAGTTCGTAATAGGAAATGCATTTTGCAATTCCCTCCGCGGTTAAAGAAAGTTTAGTTATTTCTTTTGCTGTCCACCAAAAATATGAAAAATAGACAGTGTAAAATTAAATTACAAACAATCCGACCTCATGAACTAGGAAATTCAAATTGTTATCTTTTAACGATAAAACCAGCCCAATGTTCCAACAGAAAAATAAGCTTCAGAAGCACACCCACTATCAGTCGAAACCGTTTTTCATTTCACACCTCCCTCCTTTAGAAAAAAATATAGCCATTTGATTTTAAGTACTTCACTTATAAAACTTTTAACGACCACTGTTCAAGAACGCTTGCTCTAAAATGATCTACCAAATTATATAGTCTCGTAAGATGTATTCAACAAATTTTGACCTAACGGGGAAACCTAAAAAAAGCAGTTTTTCAAAAGGTATCGTTTGTTACTGAAAGTTCATGAATTAACGTAGGTGATAAAAAACGGGGTGGAAAGTTTGCACTGCCTCATACAAAACAAAATTGAGACCAAAAGGAGTTGAGGATTTGCATGAACGGTTCCTTCCAAGGAGAGGACAACCGCTGTGATATCTGCACCAGACGTAAGTGAAATTCCTCCAGCATTAGCACCTAAATAAAAAAAAAACAAAAATCATTTTTTTTAAAAAAACTGACTGTAACAATCCAGTCAATTACGGTACTTACTTGAATGCCAAAGAACTTCATTTGTATTTTTACATCACCTATCCAACGATACCTCTCCGTGATCGAATCAAGTAAAAGACTAAATTGGTCTGTACATTCTGGAACTCGAAACTGCAATTAGAAAAAAATTCCCAAAAAAAAGACCAATATACACAAATATATCTCAAATAATAAATGTGGTAAAGTGCAGCTAAAGTGAAATCAATGACCAACCCAATCAGTGTCTGCAACCTCACGATATCTCTGCTTCCAGCAAGCCTCAGATGAAAGAAATCTTTCAACACTGCATCGAAAACTTTCCATTTCCAATTCAAGCCATTTACTTAGAAAAGGGTCGTCAAAAAGCACCTCTACCACTGAGCCAGTATTTAACGACAAACCGCTTTCTTCAAAAAATTTGAAAGTTTAGTAGTCAACCGTAATGCAACTTAACAAAGATTCTCTAAAGCGACTAAAAATGTTTTATTTCACCTTTTAAGTCTTTTTCAAACAATATTGTTTCGTCAATCAAATGTGAAAAAAGAACTTTATCATCTACAACTCTTGGTAACATTTCCCTCATCTTCCGCCTCCCCAAATCTAGAAGGGTTTCTTGAAAAGTCCGCAATGCATCCATAACAGCTTCCTAAAACTGTTTACAAGGAAGAACCATTTAACTACTTGGATAATTAACTCAAAAAACGCAGGCCAAAGTAAAGGTTTTCCAGCAGTTAATGGTGCTAATTCACTGGCGAAAAAATTACTTAATACAAAAGAAATTGGTGAGCAAAGTACCTCGGAATCAAAAAGCTGACGACCTAATTTTTCCAAGAAAGGCATGTTACCAGCAATCCACGAGAGCAACAAATTAAAAAACCACTCTGGTTTCGAATCAACATTGGTTTTCCGGCTCTTGAAGAAATGAAACTCAAAACGTTGAGCGAAAGGGTTATGCAAGAACGAGAGTAGCATTGAGCTAAAAAAACATAATTTAGTCAATAACACAAGATAACTTTTAAAAACCTCTCGAAATCGTATATCTTTATCGAAGGAGTACTCAAACATATTTTGTTTTCAGTAACGACCAACAAATAGAAAAAGTTGAACTAGACTTCGTACAACTAGGCTAAAAACAGAACAGTTACTCCCGATCTGTTGAGCCGTCGCATAATAATATGTCGCTGTAGCACTTAAGAGCATCCACCAGATTAGCAGCAAGAGATTCTGATGCAGAAAAATCACTATGGTCATCAAAAGGGTAATGAAGGTCCTTCAAAAGTCTGTTGATTTCTTTTGGAATGAAAACTCTGGCTTCATCTGCAAGTTTTCGTCGCTCCAAACAGAAAATTTCCATCTCTTTAGGGTTCTAAAATCAATATTAAAATCTTTACTTCTTGAAATCCTTTGTATTCATAAAAAATTCTTAGCTTTTCCATACCCGCCTAAAACACAAAGGTCATTATCCTGGTAAATTAGCAGAGGAGTATAGCAAATACACATTATTACCGAAAACTTTTCATCCTTTTCAAAATTCTCAAAAATACTCACTGTTGCCTTCCACATCTCCCTATATCCAACCAATTAAGCACAGAAAAACTTCTAAAAATATTCCCAGCTCGTCTATCACTAAAATCAAACAAGTTTACTTTCTCACCATAGTAAAATCAGGTTGGCGCTGAAGAACAGTTAACGCCTTACGCAGTGCGGGGACATCAGAATTAGCCAATGCAACTTTAAGCCTTCTTTTACTCTCCAAAAAATCCCGAGTAAATGCCAGCAACTGCAGTTCATTTTTTAAAGAAGAATAATAATCTAACTTAGCAAACAAATCTGGAGCCTCCTGAAATAAAGACTACTTGAAAATTTCTTATTAAAAACACCTCATAGTTTTAAAAAAATTTAAAAGCAAAAACAAGCAAGAAAAAATATTGACTGAATCCTCACTTCTAAAACCTATGTGAAAACTAACGCTTTTAAGCTTGTGCATTACAAGTTCTCGTTTTTCCTTGAACTCGTGCAGAACGTTTGAAGCTCGTTCTCTCTCCTTGAGCAATTCATTTTGCACTTTACTAACTTCCTTCATCTTGTAAGGTAAATCTTGCCTCAAATATAATATCCGCTCCTGCAACTCTGGCAGCAAAAGGCATTAGTACTAGTAGTATAGCTCTTATTTATAGCTCAGATCCTTCGAGATGAGAAAGAAAATGGCGAAAAAAACGTCAAAACGCCTGAATAGATGCGTAACTAGTTATTTGAGAAAGTTGAAAACACTTATTATGATTGAAGTAAAAAATCTTAAGAATATACTGAAAGAAAAAAACAAGAATATCCATGACATCATCAAGCTCCCTACACCGCATAAAAAACTTTCTGACTGCCTGAACAGTTCCCTAATGCATACAGCACTCAGAAATTTGACTAACGACTAAAAAAAATTACTCGTAAAAAAAATACATAAATGACGCCACTAACTTTATAAAACAACAAATCCGATCTACAATGATAAAATTATATTACACTATTCTATCTACCACTTCTGAAGCCCCAAATTCCGACTAATGAAATGATGAAAGCCACAGAAACGAACCTCACAAGCGTCTGCCTTCTCCTTGACCTCAGTGACGATCTCACGAACACCATGGAAATATTGTTGAATATCATTCGACGGTAAATTAGCAAACTTTTCGTATACGGCATTCAACTAAAATCAATTTCCAAAGTTAAAGTAAAGATAAGCCAATATAACAAGTTCCCATAGTGTCTGTTTTCAGAATTAATTTGAGATCAGACTTTATACGAGGACTTCAAAGTGGGATTACCAAGCCATTCAAAAATATAATGCTGCTGATCAATATGACTAGAATTTGACAGCAGAATCCAGCATCCAACAGCTACATATTTTCTAATCACAAAAAAGCAGCAGTTTTACTTTAACTCGACT